CTTCAGGGTGAAGATCTTCTCTCACTACTCTAAAGGGCCCCTTTGGCAGTAGGAAACACATAGACTATTATGGAGATTGATTTTGGAATTTAGATACACTGTTATCAATTTGACCTCAAATTGACAGGAGTGAAGGTCCAGCAAATTAATCAGAATAAAGATTGATATAAGCACCCAGATTCTTCACCATATTTCCAGCTAAAGGTCCAAACTCATATGCACACATGTGGATAAAGAGACCAAGAACTTCAGAAGAAACATTTCTCAGACTCCTTGACAAGGAAACAAACCCAATACACTATGACTTAAAATCCTGTTGATAAAGAACTGACAGATCCTGCAAGTAATTTTGAGAACTGAGGTGCACTTGACTTAAGCTCTTCATGATAATTTCAAATTGTTTCATTTAAATATGAAATCTGTGTAGTGAAAAAAGAAGGCTGAGGAAAAGTCAATACTTTTAAATGATGACGGTTTTAAAGTAGATTAAATATTCTGAGTAAAGGGTTGTGCTGCTAAAAAAAAAATTGAGCACTAAGGTATGCCTTATTCAGGCCATCCATACATAGTCTTTTCAATCACCTGCTATACTGCTGAGAGCTGGAGAGTGAAGAAGGATGACAGAAGAATTGATGCCTTTGAACTGTGGGGTTGGAGAACAGTACTGAATACCCCTTAGACTGTTCAAAGAACAACCGGTATGTCTTGGAGGTGAAGCCAAAGTGTTCCTTGGAGGCAAAGATAAAAAAAAATAAAAATTGTCTTACATATTTTATTTAGGTATGCTGCTAGAAAATGCTATCACTGGAAAAAAACTTCGTGCTTGGGATGGTGGAGGAATGGTGAGAGGAAGACTGTCAAATCAGGGGGACTGACAATGTGACTGTAGCGTGTCAGACTTGAGTGTGTCAGAGATTATGAGGATGGCACAGAAAGGACAGGGTTCATATGCAACTTGACGACACCTAACTACAGGTCTCTAACTAGTACAGAAACATTCGCTTAAAGATTACATTAAAAAATAAGTAGGAAGCCTCAATACCTACTACACCAACAAGTAAGAGTTAAAACTAAACACCCAATTGTTCATCTATAAGTAAAACAATCAAATCTGTCTCAATATACTTTCAAAAAGAAGAGTGAACTGGGGGGGGGGGGCGGAGAGCAGGGAGAAAAGTACAACAATGAATGAATGGAAATCCAAAGTCTCTCTAAATTGTCATTAATACTAATAGTAATAATAAAAAAAAAGTCAATAAAGGTTTGTTATTAAAACCAAAGCCACTACTACTGAGTTGATTCCAACTCAAGACAAGGACTGCTGTCTGCTTCCAGGGCTGTATCATCTTTACAGAAAGCAATGTTAGTGGCCTAGTATCCAAAGGATTGGCCTGCTAACGGAAAGCGTCAGTGTATGAAACCACTCGGATGTTCTGCAGGACAGGCAGCCTCCTCCTGTGAAGACATACAGCCGCAGAAACCTGATGGAGGCTTGTCCTGAGTTGGAACTCACTCAGTGGCAAAGGATTAGTTGTTCGTTAATCTTCACTGAAGCAAACTGTCACTTCTTCCTCCTGGAGTGGCTATTGTTTCAAATTTCTAACTTTTCAGGCCACAGCTGGGCACTAAACCACTGTCCCACCAGGGCACCTTGTTACTAAAATGAACCTATGAATTAGGCACTGTTCTTGTGTCTTAACAATCATATGCTGTGCTCGTCTTCATAAAAAGTTCAAAAGGCATCGAAGTTAAGACTTAAAGAATGAAGTGAGGATACGTACCTAGTGATGGGACTAGAATTTTAACTGGCTACTAGCTGGCTCTTGCTGTGATCAAGCCTTTTTTTTTTTTTTTTTGTTCTCTAACTCTTCAAGTTATTTTATAATGAGGGGTGGGGGCAGGGAGAAACAGAAGGCCTCCTTGACACTTTGAACTTTAATTAGCTTATTTTATATATTAGACATTTGTTACGTGCCATTGAATTGCTGGCAACTCACAGTAACCCTATGGACAATAGTTCTGAAGCTTGCCCTGACCTGAGCCAGTCTCATTATTGACACTTACCCCTCATTGCCCTAGTCACTGCATCAATCCATCTCATTTGGAGTCTTCCTCTCATGCACTGTCCCTCCACCCTTCTGAGCATGATGTCCTTCTTCAAAGACTGGTCCCTTCCAGCAATGTGCCTAAGTATGTGAGACCGAGCTTCAAAATCCTAGCCAACAAGGAGAAACTTGGTTTCACCTACTCCAAGACAGACCTGTTTGTTCTCTTGGTGGTCCATGGTTTAAGACTCTTCTCCAGCACCACAACTGAAAGACATCAATTCTTCTGTCATCCTTAGTCACTGTCCAGCTTGCTGATGCATAGCAAGTAATTGCAAATAACATGGCCTGAATCAGGTGCACCTTAGTCCCTAGACAGACATTATTGTTCCTTAGTCCTCTAGAGAGGTTCCTGGCAGATTTTCCCAGTGCAATTCGTCTTTTGATTTCCTGAATGTTGGTACCAAGAGTGTTGACTGTGGAATCAAACAAGTTAAAGCTATTAACAATCTCAATCTCTTTACCATCTATCACAGTGCTGCCAACTGGCCCAGTCAGTGGTGAGAATCTTTGTCTTCCTGATGTTGAGCTTCAATCTATACTGAAGACTGCAGCCTTGACTTTCTACAACAAGTGCTTCAGATCCCCCTCAGTTTCAAGACATTTACTTAAGATTTTTCTGAACAAAGTGTTGGCTTGCTTCAAACAATTTTTCTATGGGTATTTCATTTCCTATAATTATTTCCTTTTTCATTTATGGTAAGAGGATTCTATAGGTCTCTAAAAATATGAAAACTAAGAATGCTAAGGAGCACCTTTATAAACTCTCAACCTGGGATCATATGACAGAACGTTGTAAGGAATATCACTAAGGAGAATGGGTTCTAAAACATGCATCATGTCCGTTTAACACAGGGGAGTGGTTCACAACAGAGGTTATAATGTTCAAGACTAAATTAATGACACATGAAATGTGTTATTAAATAGGAGATATTTGTCTGGTGCTCTTAATATTCTTAAGATACAACAATAACTTCAGGTTAAGTTTCATTTAATTTAACATTTATTTTCATTTTATATCCAGATGTCACATTTTCTACATTAAAATATTATCATGCTGACTCCCCCCAACCCCACACTCTCAGAGAAACAAGGTAAAGAACTTACACAACTTGAGAGATGGAATGCACAGAGTAGAGAAGTTGCTATTGCACCCAAGTAACAAAGAACACAAAAAGACCAAACATTAAACGTGGCAGAGCTGCATAGAAGATAGCTTCAGGGCTAACATGACAAAGGAGCGAGAATTATAGTTCTAAAGCTTTAAACATTATCACTTGTGCCACAAGAATACCCTGAAAAGGCAAAGACAGGTCAGAAAGCAGGTACAAATGGGAAATTTCTACAGGTTGCTCTTAACAGAGTTTAAAATATCCATAAAACACATGAGTGGTCACTTTTCTCTTCCTCATCCTGCCTTCTGCAGCTTGTAAACTTCAGAAACTTAAATCACTGTTAGCAAGACAGAATGTGGAACAGAACTAGGTTTTGCTTTCTTCTTTTTATTCTACTTTGATTCTTGAAGCAACAGTTTCATGAGTTATTTTAATCATATAATTCCTCTGCATGGAAACCCAAGAAGGCTCCCCGAGACAAGGCATCTCACCACTACCAGACATGCCAGCTGTGCAAAGGTTGCATGATTCTGCACTACCGAGAGGAACAACTGTAAGACAGAGGAGTTCCAGCTCGGCACATACAAGTGAAAAGGAAAAGAAAACTTTCTTTGCTAATCTATTAATTACGAAGGAAGGAGCAAGTAGACAGTGGAAGCCATCTGCTTAGAGCAGCAGCAGAGACCTAGAGGCACATGACTCAACTGGAGAGCGAGTGCTCAGAAAAGACCTTCAAGGCTTTTCTTAAAAGAGGATCCTTTCATACCTTATCTCGGTCTAACTGGGATGCCAAAACATTACAACTTGAGATAGTGACACTCTTTAGGGGACCGAGAGCCCAAGTAAAGGAGACTCAATGAGGATATCACTAGACAATTAATTACATCACTATGTACAAATGCACACATCAATAAGAAAACATCATCTTCATCTTTGCAGGTATTTTTAAACAAAGCAATGATGTTCCAGGCTTTCTGAATATGGGATACTTTAAAGTCTGTTATCAGTTTAAAACATTGGAACACTGGCACAGTATGTTACCTAGTCTTTGTTTTTAATTACACGGTAACACAGTAAACTCCAACACAAAGATGGGGATGAGGGAGTGCAAAAGGAATAAAGAAAATAGAACCAGGATTTTACAAGAGTATAGAGCCAGCGATGAAGTAATAGCTAGTGCTTTGCAGAGTCTCGAGGGTAGAACTCGCTCAGGGTGCTCTGAGGGATTCTCTTCAGCATTTCTTTGGGGAAGATTCGGAGCAACTGCCAGCCAATGTCCAAAGTCTCATAAACAGTACGGTTTTCGTAAGGACCTTAAAAAAAAAGATTGAGATTAAATTAATAAAGGCAATCTATTTCCATTTTACTATTTACTATTTTACAATTTCCATGTTACTCCGTGCCTGTTCTAAGTTTAAAACTGACTACAAACAGACAAAAAAGTTCATTTCTCCCAAGACTGGACATAACTGAATATGGACATGAAGATAAAGACGTAAGTATCAGAGAAAATAGGAGGAAAGGGGGAGATATTTGCACAAAGAGAGAGATGTTAAACTGGGCTTTGATGACTGGATAGGCTTTCAATTATAAACTACGTGCAAGCCGAATGCTGGTGCCAAGACTGAGTGTTTGTCCAGTGAGAGATTAGTGAGAGACGCAGTCTCTCTGGAAAAAAAGGTTCACACAAAGGAGAAAACTGGAACTTGAGGAAGACCAGTATAGACATTTCTTTTTTTTTAAAAAAGCAAACAAACAAAAAAAGCCACACAATGAACTACAGAACCTAAAACTCATTGCTAACAAGTTGGAATAACCTCACAGTTGACTGTCCAGTGGGTTTCTGAAGCAGTTAACAGTAGGAGGGGAGACTATCCATCTGTTTTGCACTGAACTATTGTTTGTAGAATTCTACTGCCAGAAAGGTGTGGTCCTGAGGTTAGCAGCACAATGCCCTGTGGATCAGACTACCAGAGCTCCCAAAATTCAATGAACTTCACTCTACTCATAGTCACTGAGTTGTGATCAATTCATAGATGACCCTTGGGTAGGTTTCTGGATCCTAGAAATCATTTTGGACCATATAACTGCTGGGGATTGGAATCATTAGCAGTACCACCTCTGGATTGGCACCGTAACTCTACAGATTACACGAGCAGAGCTCTTTATAGATGCTTAGAAAGCTTAAAGGTTGATAGAGCACAGGCCTGTCTTCTGAAGAGTTGAATCACCAACCTTCAGAAGGGGAGATGAACTTTCACACCACCAGAGTTTTCTGAAACAGCTCTTAGACCTTGGAATCTTGTTGAGTAACTGAGGTACTTTTGTTTTCTAAATACCACCTGAGGATTTATGCAAACAGATGCAGGACTAACCAGGGTACCTGGCCGTCTGTTATCAGTGGATCTCAGGGAGGGAGGAGAGTATGACTTAATTAATTTAAAGTCAACAATGCAGGAAAAAAGATCAATACTAGCAAAAAAGACTATATGAAGGATAGATCACTTGCTTTTCGGATCATTAGTGATTGATTAATTAAGGAGCATTAATAAAAGGAAGGGTTCTCTGGTGGCCAAGTGGCAAGAAGCTGCAGTGCGATCTTGAAGGCACGTGGTTGGATCCATCAGCTGCCATGCAGGAGAAAGATGGGCAATCTCCTCCCATGTGATTAAACTGCTTCTGAAAACCCGCCAGACAGTCAGCTATAGGTCAGTTCTGATTCAATGGTATATCACAACAAGAAAACAGAAAAAGAAATAAAAACAAAAGAAAAATTATTAATGCCAGAGATGATATCAGAGAGATGAGATTACAGCACAGGCACCAAGAAGTCACTGGAGGTAGCACAAAGCTGGAAATAAGGAGGTTTGAGAGGCACAGATTACCTTTCAGGAAGTTTGGCAATGAAGAAAGGGAAGCAGTAAGATGGTAGACAAATGACTAAATATTCAAGCTAAGATTTCCCCAAGACATAGGATATGCCGAGGGAATGAAACTAGAAAGGACATGACCTAGTAGAAGGCTGAAAGAAATTCTCTAACTAGGAGGTAAACTGAGTGGAGTCCAAGGTAAATTCTCTCACACTGGCAAAGAAATCCTTAAAATTACTTCTGTTTATATTTTTTTAGAAACAAAACCTATGTTTATATCTTTAAAAAGACAGATATCTTACCCTGAGCAATAAAATTCCTCTCAAACTTTTGCAGAAATTCCAAGTAAAGAAGATCATCTGAGGTAAGGGCTTCTTCTCCAACTACAGCTTTCATGGCTTGTACATCTTTACCAATAGCATAGCAGGCATACTGAAAAGATAAAAAGGTTTAATGAACACAGAGGTAAAACTTGGAAATGTAAACAGTAGCCTAGGATGTGTGAAAGAATAGTTATAGCTATGGTCCTAAGAGACCACAGAAAAAATTCCACTGAAAAAGACTATCTGGGCTTTAGTGAATTATATTTCACATAGTATAGCCTCGATTAAACTAACAATGTGCTTATTTGGAGTCAATCAAGACCTGGTGGGTGGGCCTTTGTATTTAAGTCAGTTGGACCCTCAGGCCTGGTGTTAACTGTGTTTGGGACAAAACATTCTTCTTGGTGATATAACACTGGTCTGTCAATTTTTTGTACTGAGGTAACTTGGTGTTGCTGTGAAGCTGAATGCTGTGCTACCGGTGTGCCAAATGCCATAATGGTTACCCACAATGCCATAATGGTTACCCTTGGTGGAAAAATTTGGTGGAGCTCCTAGATTAAGACAGGCTCTGAAGCAGGAGTGGTATCCATTACCTAAACAACATCCCTTTGGAAACGATGAATTTAGAGAAATGATGATAGTTACAAGAACAGGGTTCAGGTTCAGGTCTTTTGTTCATGGGGTCTCTATGAGTCATGCTCAACTGGACAGCACTTAACAACAACAACAACAATATGATTTACAAGCAGAATTCATAAAGTTTATAAATGGTACAAGTATTGACAGAATTAGTCATAAAGACAACTGTCCAGCTCTGTGACACACAGCAAGTAATTGAGAAGATCATAACTTGGACTAAGCACGCCTTAGTCTCTAGACCGACACTATTACTCTCCAGCACTGATGGTACATGACAAGATGGGCTCTCCAAGCCCCTCCCCTTTCTCAGGGGGATTTGATGTAAACTTGTGTCAAGGATGTGAGATTCTCCAAGTGTGGGAGGATTAAGTTGGGGTAAGGACTCCCCAGCAGCTGAGGGTCTGTCTCTCTCTCGCTCTCTCCTAGTGCTATTGCTGGGGCTAGTGGTCCAAGGGGCTCTTACTCTTTGGAGACCATGTCAACCATCAGGTTGACCATCTGGTTGCTGTAGCCAAATTCACTGTCATACCAGAAGTGAGTTTGACAAAGTGGTCGTTCAGAGCCATGCCAGCCCCATCATCAAAGGTGGAAGAGTGGGTGTCACTATTAGTCACAGGAGACAACTGGTCTTCAGTGTATCCCACGATGCCCTTGAGGGGCCCTTCTGATGCCTGCTTTACTACTTTCTTGATGTCATCATATTTGGCAGCTTTCTCCAGACAGCAGGTCAGGTCCACAACTGACACACTGGGGGTGGGGGACATGGAAAGCCATGCTGGTAAGTTTCCCACTCAGTTCAGGGATGACCTTGCCCATGGCCTTGGTAGTGCCAGTTGACACGGCGATGATGTTCTGGGCAGCTCCACTGCTATCACGCCACAGCTTTCCAGAGGGGCCATCCACAGTCTTCTGGGTGGCAGTGATGGCATGCACTGTGGTCATGAGTCCCTCCATAAGGCGAAGTTGTCACAGATGACCTTGGCCAGGGGAGCCAAGCAGCTGGTGGTGCAGGAGGCATTGCTGACAATCTTGAGAGAGTTGTCATACTTTTCATGGTTCACGCCCATCCCAAACATGGGGGAATTGGCAGAAGGAGCAGAGATGATTACCCGTTTGGCACCACCCTTAAGTGAGCCCCAGCCTTCTCCATGTTGTGAAGATACCAGTGGACTCCACAACATACTCAACACCAGCATCACCCCACTTGATGTTGGCGGGATCTCGCTCCTGGAAGATAGTAATGGCTTTCCCACTGATGACCAGCTTCCCATTCTCAGCCTTGATAGTTCCACTCAACTTGCCATGGGTGAAATCATACTGGAACATATAGACCATGTAGCTGAGGTCAATGAAGGGATCACTGATGGCAACAACATTCACTTTGCCAGAGTTAAAAGCAGCCCTGGTGACCAGGCGACCAATGTGGACAAATCCGTTTACCCCGACATTCACCATCGTGTCTCAGGGATGTGGCTGAGGCTGCACAAAAAGAGAGGGCAATCTGGATCAACGAGGAACAGAGTCGACAGCAGACTTTCTTAATTCTTCTTCTGATTTTTGGGTTGCTGGTGTCAAGAGTGTTGATTTTGTACCTGAGCAAGCTGAAATTGTTAACAATTTCAATCTCTACTAACACAGGTGATAAAATTTTTTTTAATAAAGAGGATAAATGTTAAGAGGAAATAAAGTGTAAGAAAGCAAAGACTGAAAAAATATTCAATTCTGTCAAACAACATAGCTAAGAGGACACACGTACCAGCTGGTTCGATACGTCAGCATGATCCTTTCTGGTCATCCCTTCACCAATAGCTGACTTCATTAACCGTGATAATGAGGGTAGCACGTTGATAGGTGGGTAAATCTTAGGTAGAATGGGACAAAAAAATTCTTTTGAGCATAAAATTCTGTAAGTTAAATCTACAAAATAGTTTATGACTATGCTGGAAGTCTATAAATTTTCAATATTTGTCTTGATTACTATGGTCTCACATCTATGTAAGATTCTGAACTCTAATTCATAAAAGTAAAATGTTAAGTCTACTTGAAAGCTCATTTGAAAGAAGTGAGTATCTAGTAGAAATTCATCAAAACCCCTGTGTTTTATTTTAAATAACAAGATTGGGAGATTTTATCACTATGAAATAATACTCTCAAAATTATTTTATAACAACCGACCCCATTTTAAAGTAGAATAATGAAAAGCAAAAATTTAGTTCTTAATTCTGGCACTCTTATTCATATTCAAATTTTAATTCTGATTTATATCAGATATAGACTGATTTTATATATATCTCAATGACTATACTTATAAGTGATGATCCTTAAAAATTCCAGAATTTAACATTCAAGATTTAAAATTTTAGAATTTAACATTCTTTGACCATTCTTCTTAGGAATGACAAAGTAGTAACTCCTAAAAGCAAAAAACAAATCTGGAAAAGAATAAAATTTAATTGGATATATTTAGCTTCATAAATACTAAAAAATCCAATACCTGTCTGTTGTGCAGCTGTCTGTCCACATAGATTTGTCCTTCTGTAATGTATCCAGTTAAGTCAGGGATAGGGTGAGTGATATCTAGCAGAGGAAGACATTTTACATTAAACATGACATTCCAGTCCATGAACTTTAGTCAAGCAGTCATTTGATAGAACTAAATTAACAAGAGGTTATTCTGTATTACCTGAAGCACTAGTTGGAGCAGTGTAATGCAAAATACTTTTCTGCAATGACAGAATTGGGTTCTGTGTTGGCAGTTTGGTAGTTATGAACTCTACCCAAGTGGCTATGATTACTTGAAATAAGGCTAATGAAACTGAAAACCCAAGTTTCCCATTTAATTTTCATTCATTTACATACCCTTAAGTGGATTCTTCTTGTTAGGTGCCATCGAGCAGTCTGACTCCCGGTGACACTATATGGATAACGGACCTGAACCCTGTTCTATCCCACTGTCATCCTCATTATCTCTGATGTACTTGAGTCCACTGTTGCAATCACTGTGTCAATTCATCTTGTTGAGGATCTTTTTTTTTTGGCTGATCCTTTACCTTTCTAGGATATAATGTCCCTTTCCAGGGAAAGCCCTCCTAAAAAATACTATACAAAATGGGAGCGTCTAGAGAGCCTTATGCTGAGTGAACTAACTCAAGTCTCTTAAGGACAAATATTGCATAAGACCATTATTGTAAAAATAAAAGAACTAGTTAAAACGTGTATACATGTCGATGGGGGGAAGAGAAAGGGAGAAAGGAGCAGGAAAAGGGGAAGGGTGGAAATCACTGGGATAGCAGTTTAGTGGGCAGAAGGGGGAAGAGTGTTAAGCAATAGGAAAAATTCAATTGGGATGTGAAATAACAGAGTACTAGTGGGCATAGATAAATAATAATTGTTTACATAAAATATAATGTATATGAATGACTGCATGAAACGCAATGTAAATGAAAGACTGTATAAAACACAAGGTAAACAAATATTGGATGCAAACTAATTAAAAAAAAAAAGAGGGAAAAAAAACCCCATGGCCAAAGTATGTGACATGGAGCTTTACCACCTTTCATCTTTGCCTCTAAGCAGCACTCTGGCTGCGCTTTCTACAGGACCTATGTTTTGTTTTTTTAGCAGTCCATGGGATATTCAGTACTCTTCTCCAACACCACAGCGCAAAGGCATCGATTCTTCTGTTATCTTTATTCACTATCCACTTTTCAGATTCATAGTAAGTGACTGAAAAGGACAGTGGCAGCACAAGGGGCACCTTGGTCTTTAAATGCACACAGTTGTTCCTTAGTAATTTGAATAAATCCCTAACAGCAGACTTTCCCAACACAAAACATCTAACTCTTGGTACTAAGTGTTGACTGTGGATCCAAGTAAGATGAAATCATTAACAACTTCAATCTTTCCTCCATCACGATGTTGCCTATATGTCCGTCCAGTAGTAAACTTGTCTTCTTGATGTAGAGATGGTGGTTATGTGCCATCAAGTTGCCTGTGACTCACAGTGACCCTATATACAACAGTTCTGTCCCAAGCTACAACAGCCCTATCCTGAGCTAATCTCATCATCTCCAACAGACCTAATCCCACTTCTCCAGCCACTGAGTCAATCCATCTCATCCTGGAGCTTCCTCTCCTGCACTGTCCTTCGACCCTTCCAAGCATGATGTCCTTGTCCAAGGCCTGGTCATTCCTGGCCACATGCCCAAAGTTTGAGACGGAGCTTCAAAAATTCTAGCCTCCAAAGAGAAACTTGTTCTAACTCTCGCCAAGGCAGACTCGTTTCTTGGCAGTCCATGGCATGTTTCAGACTCTTCTCCAGCACCGTAACAAAGGCATCGATTTTTCTTCTGTCATCCCTAGTCACTGTCTAGCTCTCCAATGCATAGCAAGTAACTGTGAAAACCAAAGTCTGGATCAGACACATCTTAAGTCTCTAGACTGGCAACACTTTGGATAAGGTCCCTGACAGCAGGTTTTCCCAAGGCAATTCCTCTTTTGATTTCCTGACTGCTAGTGCCAAGAGTGTTGATTATGAAGCCATGCAAACTCTAATTGTTAACAACCTCAATCTCTTCATCAATCATGGTGCTGCTATTTGGTCCAGTGGTGGGTATCTTTGTTTTCTTGATGTTGAGTTTTAATCTATATTGAAGACTGCAGTCCTTGATCTTCAGGTCCTCCTCAGCTCTAGCAAGCAAGGTTGTGTCATCTGCATAACGCAGGCTATTGATGAGTCTTACTCCCATTCTGATACCACATTCCTCTGCATAAATCCCAGCTTCATGAATGATTTGTTCTGCATACAGATTGAAAAGGCAGAGAGACAGGACACATCCCTGATTTTGAACCATGCAGTGTTTCCTTTTTCTGTTCTGAGGACTGCTTCCTGGCCTGAGTATAGGTTTTGCATAAACACAATCAAGTGTTCTGGGATTCCCATTCTCCTCAAGGCTAGCCACAATTTGTTGCGATCCAGAGTCAAATGTCAATAGAACAGACATTCCTCCGGTACGCTTTTGGTTTCTGTCAAGATCTATCTGACATTGGCAACACTTTTCTCTAGTGCCACAACCTTTTCTAAACCTGGATTTATTTCTGGTAGTTCTCTGTTGATGTACTGTTTCAGTCCATTTCTAAACACAAAGGTCCCTTGAAAGAGCTTGCCAATTTGATATATACAGAGAATATTATTGTTACATGCTGAAAAGCTGGCTATAACTCATAGCAACCCCATGGAGAGATCAAAACCTTGCCAAATACTACCATCTTCAAACCCTTTGTTGCAGTCATCCCAAGGGTCTTATTCTCTTTCAATGACCCTCTACTTTTCCTAGCATGATACTCTTTTCCAAGGACTGGCTCTTTTGACAACTTTATTCCCAAAGTATGTGAGATGAAGTTTCACCATTCTTTTCTTTAGAGTAGCCTGGTTGCAAATCCTCCTTGACTGATATCTTCAATACTCTTCACCAACATCACAATTCAAAGGCAAAAATAATTGTTCAGCTTTCCTTATTCATTTTCCAATCTTCACATGCACATGAAGCCACAGTCATGGCTTGGGTCATGTGCACTTTAATCTTTAGGCTGACATCTTTGCTCTTCAGCACTGTAAAGAGGTCCTTGATAACAAACAGATTTACCCAATGCAGTAAGACTGCTGTGATTAATGTGTATTTGTGGATCCAAGTACTTTTGAGAAAATCACTGACATCTTCAACCTATTCTCCATCATATGTTGACTTCTGGCCCAGTGACAAGAAATTTTCCCCCCTGAAGAAATTTAATACAGATTTCAGGCTGTAGGTTCCGATCTTCATTAAGTGCTTCAATTCTTCACTTTCTGCAAGTAAGGCTATATAATAAGTAGGTGGTTGATGAGTATTCCACTAATCCTTATGCCACAATCTTCTTCATATACACCAGCTTAAACTAGAAAGTATCTCCTTGTTCTATTTGCTTCATGTATGAGTTCTGCATGGGTACAATTAAGTATTCTTAATTCTTCTCACAATGTTATCATAACCTGTTATCTACATATTCAAATAGGGAATTGTGGTGGCTTATAGGTAAGGAGCTGGGTTGCCAACCTGAAGGCACAAGGTTTTATCTACCAGCTGCTCTGCAGGAGAACAATGTGCAATTAACTGTCTCTGAAAACCTGCAAGAGGGTCAACTATGAGTTGGTACCAACTTGTTGGTACATGAAAACATAAATGCCTTTGCAGTCAATAAAACACAAGTAAACGTCTTTCTGGTGTTCTGTGCTTTCAGCCAAGATTCATCTGATAAAAGCAGTGATATCACTTGTTTCAGTGCCTCTTCTGAATCCAGCTTGAATTTCTGGCAGTTCCCTGTCAATGTACATTTCCAGCTATTACCTTAATAAAATTTCAGCAATATTTTACTTGTATATGACATTAACAAAGCGGCTTGATAATTTACTCACGTTTAGAATTAGAACAAATACGGATCTCTTCCAATTAGTTGGCCAGGTAGTTGTCTTCCAAATTTCGAGACAAAGACAAGTGAGCATGCCCAGTGCTAGATCTGCTGGTTAAAACACATTAATTTCTGAAGCCTTATTTTTTTGCCAGTATCTTCAGTGCAGCTTGGACTTCTTTTTTGAGCACCACTGATTCTTGATCATATGCTACTTCCTCAAACAGTTCCAAGCTGACCAATTTCTTTCAATCCTGTGTATACCTTCCATTTTCTCTTGATGCTTCCTGAGCCATTTACTATTTACCCATAGACTCTGCAACTTGAGTTTGAATCCCCTCTCTACTTTTTTCAGCTGAAGAAGCTGAGCATTTTATTCCCTTTTGGCTTTTTAACTCCATGCCTTGCACCTTTATTATTTTTTTACAATATTGTCATCTAAAGCTACTTTTTGAAATCTTCAATTTAACTAGTTAATTTTCTTTCTTTTTTTTTTTAAGTTTCTCTCTACTCGATAGTAACTTTCAAAATCTCTTCTGACATTCTTTTCAGTCATTTAAAGGATCCTAAGAATATTCTTAGTTCAAAAGATTTATCAGATTTTTGAAATGAAACATTTCAATACAGAAAATGTTAAGAAAAAAAGACAAGTAAAAGAGCACTAAAAGAACAGAAATCATACAGGAAAGAAGTCACAGAAAACAGCATATATTTAAATCTGCTAAATTATATAGGAAGGTAGCTATTTCCTAGGAACACATAATTTTCATGTCAGGAAGGCAGTACAGTACAAGTGATGCGTTTAGACAATTACTTCCTAGGGAGCTCTGGTGTTTTAGTCTGTAGGGAACTACGCTGCTAACCCAAACACCAAGCCTCTGTGGTGGCTCAAATCCACCAGAAGCTCTCAGAGAGAAAGATGGGGATTTCTTCCCACGAGATTTACAACCTCAGAAAACCACTGCAGGGTCAGCTAAGATGCAATTTCTACTCAATTGAAGTTTGTTTTTTTTTAAAAAAATTCTTTTCATTATTTGTGTGTGTGTGTGTGTGTGTGTACTGTCAAATTGGATCTAACAGGTACAGGAGACTGTCCCTCCTTCTCCAGCAGAGCATCTTGTAGACTCGACCCGCACACCCCTGGGATTGCAATATCAGCGTCTTGTATCTAGGCCACCAGAGCTCGCCTGCAGTAAGTTTTTTAGTTTATTACTTTCTAACAAAGTTTTTAATTTTGTCCTTCAGAAAACAGCACCTTCTCAGACGTGGGTGAGGCTCAAAGGTGTTCATATTTATAAAGTATTTAGAGTAGCACAACCAATATAATGTATTAGTTTCAATATGATCTTATAAAAAACTTTAAAAAAGTGAGATGAGGACAAAAAGGCAATGAACATATGAAGAGTGCTGAATGGTTTTTACTCCAGAAAGCATCCTATGCATAAAAACTCAAGAGGTACTGCACTGTAAGCTTCTATATAGAGTAAGAGTAAACTGTAACCAGGCCTTATCAGTGTGCCCTCTAAAGTCCGTGGCATTTGCTTTCTCTGTTCTTCACTTGGCACTTAGCATAAGCTACCTTAAATAATTGATGCACATACATAAAATATATCCCAACTAGATTAACTTACACTAAGCAGAGACCACAAATATTTGAATTCCTTAGTTTCTTCGATATTTCAAAAACAGCAGGCCCTCAAAAATAGCTAATAAAAATGCAAAATTAAAATTACAAAGAAAACGAGTTTTCTTCCACAAAATATTAATTATGAGTAATTTTTAAGATATATGAAATTACTGATACATAAGTAACTATCAAACTTTTGGAGGACAATCTTCTTTCTCTTTTTCCCTAACCCTAACCCTAGAGGATAAGGTCTTATAACAATTTTTAACTCCAAAACTTACATGGTTTAACAAGAATAAAAAGGAACACGGTCTCTAGTTCATATGGTGCTAAAACCTCACTGCCATTAAATCGATTCTGACTCCCAGCAGCCCTACATCACAGTAGATGCAGACTGCTCTCATTTTTTCCCCAGAGGAACAGCTGATGGGGACGAACTGCTGACCTTTTTGTTAGCAGTTGACCACCTAGCCACTGAGCTACTACCAGAGCTCCTTTTATAATTGTTATGTGCCGTCAAGTAGCCTGTGATTCATAGTGACCCTATGTACAAATAAAGCCCTAAATCCAGCTTTATCCTGTGCCAATCTCACCATCTCCAACACACCTGCCCTCATTACCCCCGTCACTGAATCAATCCATCTCATTGAGGGTCTTCCTCTCCTGCGCTGTCCCTCCACCCTCCCAAACATGCCGTCCCTCTCCAAGGACTGGTCCCTCCTTACAACGTGTCCAAAGTATGTCAGACAAAGCTTCAAAATCCTTGCCTCCAAGGAGCAGCCCAGCTTTACCCTCTCCTCCAGGACAAACCTGTTTGTTTTTAGATCTGCTATATTTAAAAGACGAAAAACTTACCATCATTAGGCATGGTGAGAATTGGAATCTGTGTAATAGAGCCATTTCTACCTTCTACTCGGCCAGCACGTTCATATATTGTGGCTAAATCTGTATACATGTAACCTGGGAAACCACGCCGACCAGGAACTTCTTCTCTGGCTGCCGAGACCTGACAACAATCAAGGAAGAGGGTTATCACGTGCCAGAATATGAAAAGAAAAGCATGGGTGAAATATGTCTGTCTGAATAAGCTTCAGAAAAAAATCTCTTAGGAATATAAGTCAAGATTATTTCAACAAAAGTGTTGACCAAAGGGAATCATGTTTTTCTTCTGAAACCATACTGCCATAATGTTTGTGTGTATATACATATACTTTTATTTTAGAAAAACAAGTGAAAAAGATTTATTGAGGCAATAAGACAATGTCACCTAATGAAATGTGTATAAACGGAATAGAAAACTAACCCTACACTTTCACAACTACAAAATGCTTTAAACTGGGAGAACATTTTTAGTTTGTAAAATAGAACCCACGCTGTTTATTTACTTATAACCATTTATTTATGTCTGAATAATTAGCCATATTTCTGTCAAAAGGAAACTCAAGAATCATATAAATTAGATCATTTTCCAAAAATCACAAAACTAACAATCTGTTCTCCCATCACACAAAATAAGAGCAGCAAAAAATGGTCTTTCTCTGAAGAGATACTGTGAGTTAAGGGTTTGTTAAAATGGTTTTTCTAGCCATTGCCTAATTTTGCCCTATGTGGATGGGCAAGATTATGCAAATAGGGCATGCTAGTCTATCCACAAGGGGGCTGGCTAGTCTTGTTATTAAACTGAACAGCAGTAGGAGGATCTTCCCCACCAAGAAAAGAATAAGCAAGAGAGCCTACAGGAAAAGCAGCCATAGCAGAGAGCCAGGGAATCTGACATTAGACAAAGAGGCAGCGACTTGATGTGAGATGGGATCTTGGGACTGCTAGACCAGTGGAACCAGAGCTAAGAATCTTTGCCCAAGTTTGTTGGACAAATGGGAGTGGGAGGCCATAATCTGCAGGACTGAGAGCTTTGTTAACACTGGCTTAAGCCGTGAGGTTCAAGGGTGAGATAGCCTGCAAGCACATTTTGGAAGCTGTCCTGACTGTATTGTGTGACTAACCTGGATTATAACCTTTTGACTTCCCCAATATGACTCGGTGCGGTCTATTGGCTATCACATTGGATTTTGGACATAATAAAGCAGAAAGATTAGTATTAAGAGTAGAAAGTAAGAGAGGTAGGGGACATGTCTGACCTCATAAAGATTGATTCTGTGATAATAATGTTGATGGGGACCGTTCCCCTTTGTGAAGTTGGGAAAAGTCAGATATGGCTGTCTCACTGTGGCTCTTGCTCTTTTTACAATAGGTACCCATATTCATTAACCCACAACTTCAAGAAACGCAGAATTATTGAGTGCAATTGTTGGTTTTTATTTTATTAAATTTACTGTGCTTAGAGTGAAAACTTTATAGAGCAATTAGTTTTCCAATTATTCATACTTTGTCAGTAATTACAGCCCTCACATTATAACAATACTTTTCCTACTCCCCATTTGTGATTCTCAGTACTATGCATCTTTCTATCCTATCCATCCATTCTGAGCTTTCTCTCTGCGCAAACACTGTTCTACTGATCTTGTATGACTATGACTAATTATTCTAAGCAGTGGTTATCTTTGTTACTACTGCTCACCTTCACAATATTGCTTATTGTTTGGTTTTGAGTCACAGGGGTGTTTAGTCACATGCTCCAAGAGTTACTGAGGGTCACAGTTATCATCAGCCACCATTAGACCAGCAGGTTGGGTAATTTTTGTGACTGTGAGTTGTGTTCTATATTCCTCCCCACCCCCTTCCAGGACCCTCCACTGTGATCCCTTGTAGAGTGTTCAGCAGTGGGTTGCTGAGCACAGCCTAGTGCTTTCACTCTCTAGGCAGTTCATGTGATCCATAGGATATGCCTTTTGCACTAATTAAAAACAATTAGTTTAAAAATATGCACCTTTGATTTCCTTCATTCCTATCTGTACAGACAGGGAGAGAACCATAAATTGTACCTCAGATGGATTAAGTGCAACTTTTAAGGATTTGCTGGAGCTTCCAAAGGAGTGTACTATTTGTGGTCTAATAATAAATAGTGCTAAGCATAAATAAAACTTAATGGTCATTTGACAGGATGATGTCATGCCTGCTAAGGCTAGTAACTTTAAAAATCTAGAGTGTATCATATAAACTTTTTATAATTCTTCCCTTCCACAATAAAAATATTGGTGTGCAATGGATTAGGAAAAACAAACAAAACAAAAAGCCCAGTCCTTGACCAGAATTAGTCTTAAAAAAAACACTGTTATATAGTGAACCACTATAAGGGAATTTGGCAATTTTAAGAAGAATTTGAGAATTTTTATGGAATATACAACTTCATAGGCCTTTTTCCTTTTAATGTGCTTAAAGGAGTAACAACTAAAAAGGACAGTAACTTGTTGGAAAATACCACAAAATTTCTTTGATATATTCCTAACATGGTTTCTCAATAAGCACTGCGTTTTCTGAAGGAAGAAGTTTTAAAGGGTGTTGCCAGGGTATGGTCTTCTATTTAAACACCAGCATCATTAAAATTGAATGAGGAGGCTTTTACTCTCCTTTTCTACTGCAGCATGATATAAGGTCTGGTTTCACCCATCTTTCCAGGGGTCATTTCCTCCACTTCCATCTTCTTTCTTTTTCATTTTAATTCTTTTGCATAACCCACTTAACACAAGCTATGCCTCTATCTTAATAAACCTTTTTTGCTTATAAGGGAAAAAAAAAGAATCAGAAGGATGGGCAATCTCTTCCTGCATGATTAACTGCCTCTGAAAACCTGCTGGAGGGTCAGCTATAGGCCAGTTCCAATTGTATGGTACATAACAACATCACTGAAAATGTAATGCTGAATAGGGTTTAAACCTGACAGCCAGGGTACATATAAACTTGCCAGGAAAGGAAGAGAAAAAGAGCTGTCGTTATTTATTCCCTTTTACAGTTCTTATCCGTGAAGAGAGAGCATGTAGTTATGTGCTGTCAAGTCTTCTGTGACTCATAATGACCCTGTGTACAGCAGCTCTGAACCATGTCCTGTCCTCGACCAGTCTCACCAATTCTGACACACCTAACCCCATTGCCCCAGTTACTGTATCAACCCATCCCATCTGGGGTCTTCCTCTCCTGAGCTGTCCTTCCACCCTTCTGAGAATGATGCCCTTCTCCAAGGTTCGGTCCCTCCTGGCCACGTGTCCAAAGTTTGTGGGATGGAGTTTCAAAACCCTAGCCTCCAAGGAGAAACTTGGTCTCACCCTCCCTGAAACAGATCTATCTGTTTTCTTGGTGGTCCATGGTATGTTCAAGACTCTTCTCCAGCAACACAACTTGAAGGCATCGATTCTTCTTCTGTTATCTTCAGTTATTGTCCTGCTCTCTGATGCACAGCAAGTCATTGTAAAGACCATGGTCTGGATTAGGCACATCTTAGTCTCTAGACTGACATCATTGCTTTCAGTACTCTGAAGAGGTCCCTGACAGAAGATTTTCCCAATGCAATTCAATAGTCACACCACAATATTCTAATAACTGAGAACTCCCTTCTGTAATTTCACTAAAGTGGCACATATAGTCTTACTTTCCTCTCTAACAAATTAAAGTATTCAGTTGTTACATGAATCATAAAGTTTAAAAAGACACAAGTAAAAGAATAAGGAAAATTTACAAAAGACAAAATGACACTGAAAATTTGCTCATTTTGTTTAACTGAGGAAAAAACCCTACTGAATCCAGTTCCCATGGCCAAGTACCAGACTCTTTGATTAGGACAAATACTTTAAAAGAGTTAAAAAGGGGGGGTGAGGGGTGGGGATGGGGGAATTGTATACCAATGAAGGAATTTTTTTTCTTTTTATTTTCAAAGAGAGGAGGGAACTGGTGGGGAGGGGTGGGCAGGGAGAAAAGTGAAGCAATGAATGAATGGAAATCCAAAATCTCTGTAAAAGTTTATTAAAATTAATAAAAATGGGGGGGGAAGTTACCTCTCGAAGGGCTTCAGCATAAGAACTCATGTCAGTTAAGATAACCAGTACATGCTTCTCACATTGGTAGGCCAAAAATTCAGCTGTGGTTAAAGCCAGGCGAGGCGTGATAATTCGTTCAATGCTGAAATGAAGCATTAAGTCTTGTGTCACTCAGACAAAAAACACCAACAATATCAAGTGATTCTGGAAATACAATAAAACTCCTTTTTCAAAATTTTGTTATTTTAAAAAACTTCCTATTAAGACAGATATTTTACATATTTTATAATAGTCACTTAGTCCTATAAACTTTAAATGCTTTGTAATTTCTCAGATTATACTATCTTAAAACTAATAATGTGAGAGATAAAAAGTGAGGGAAAAAATGTGGGTCAGATTTCTCAGGGTCAGAGAAGAGGTATATCCTGTGTGTACATGCACATGGTAGGCAATATGTAATGTGGGAATGACCTCATTTTAGTAAGTACAACATGCATTTTCTAACAAGAAGTATTTTTTTTCTTGGTTGTTAACCAAAAGGTCAATTTTTCTCAGACTTAGCTAGTTTGTTGTGATACACACTGTCAAATGCCTTTACATAGTCAATGAAACACAGATAGACATTACTTTGGTTCTCTCTGCTTTAAGCCAACATCCATCTAATATGAACTGTAATATTTATAATACCATGGCCTCTTCTAAATACAGTCTGCACATCTGGATGTGCTGTTCCAGTCATTTTTGGATAATTTTCAGCAGAATCTTCCTTGGATGTGATATTAATGATATTGTTCAATAATTTCTGCACTCTGACAATGACTAGGGATGATGGAAGAAGAATTGATGTCTTTGAGCTGTGGTGCTAGAGAACAGTATTGAATATACCATGACTGCTAGGAGAACAAACAGGTTCATCCTAGAGAGGGTAAAATCAGGCTGCTCCTCAGAGGAAAGGATTCTGAAGCTTTGTCTGATCTAATTTGGGCATGTTGTAAGGCGGGACCAGTCCTTGGAGAGGGATGTCATGCTTGGGAGGGTGGAGGTCAGCGCAGGAGAGGAAGACCCTCTATGAGATGGATTGACTCTGACTAGGGTAATGAGGGCAGGTGTGTCAGAGACGATGAGGTTGGCTCAAGAGTAGGATTCAGAACTGCTGTATATAGGGTCACTGTGAGTGGTAAGCATCTTGACAGCACATAACAAAAATAATAAACCAAAAGGTCAGTAGTTAGAACCGACCAGCCAGTCTAAAGGAGAAAAAATAGGGGAGTGTGCTTCCATGAAGATGGACAACCTGCAAGCCTTATAATGGCAGTTCTACTTTATTGTCTAGGTAGCTTTGATGGCCTAGTGGCAAGAAGCTGCACTGCAATCCTGAAGGAATGCAGTTAAAATTACGAGTGAAAGATGAACAATCCCCTCCTGTGTGATTAACTGCCTCTAAAATCCCACCAAAGAGTCAGTTATGGGTTGGTTCCGACTCACTAGTACACAACAACTTTACTGTACAAGGTCATTATGAGTCAGAACTCACTCAATTCCAACAGATTGGTTTGCTGTTAGAAAATGGAGCCTGGTTGCTGCAATAGCTAAGTATGTGACTAGCAGTTCTTTGAGAGAAAAGACCAATATGCTTCTTAAAGATTTCAGTTGTGAAACTCTACAGGCAGTTTTCCCACATTCTTCCACAGGAACACTATGAGGCAGGACTGTCTGATAGTACACAAAAGTCTTAAAAAATAAGCTAGCATTTTAAATCCTGATTCTGGGTGAAAGGAAAGAGCTATATTGACTTACGTTGGGTCATTAGCCAGGTTCAAAAACAGGCAGACATTGTCCATTGAGCCATTTTCTTCAAAGTCAGATTTGAAGAATCTGGCAGTTTCCATGTTTACCTAAGTAACAATGACACCATTAGTGGTAGGAAAAAATATCTTAACATCCATTTCTGATCAAGGTCAAAACTATGGATCTGAAATTGTGCTATTAAAGTTTCAACTACCCAAAAAACGTTTTGCCGAAGTCAACATAGCAAGCAATTTGCTTTGGGCAAAGGAAACATTAAGTCTTCAGTTTCACAAGTGAAGGCTAAATTTTAATGTTTAGTTTGACCAATCTGTGAGGATAACAACTACTCCACCTAGAGAGATTCAACTATGTTTTTGGGGCTTGGTTGTTTTTTTTTTTTTAAAAAAAACACCGTATTCTTTCTAGTAAGACAAACATTTAATTTTAGATATTGTCTGAAAATGGAAAAAAAAAAGATACTTACACCCATAGCAGCAAACACAATAGCAAAATTTTCCTCACTGTAGTCTACAACATCTTTGGATTTCTTTACCAAACCAGCTTGCCGACATATTTGAGCTGCAATCTGATAAGGAGTATAAAAGAACTGAGTTGAAATCTAGGATTACATTTCTACAAAGAAGTAACTTTTAGTTAACTTTTTGGAATTTTAATTATAAATAAAATTAAAATGCTTTAAGGGCCATTCACCAGTCAAAAATATTCTTTACTATCTGCAAAGACAGGTTAGTAAGAAGACAGATATGCATAATACAGGCTCAATTTAATTATATTACACAAACAATAACATTTATTTTGCAAACTCTTCATCTGATATCACAATAAACGTATAACATTGAGAAATACTTTTCTGTTACCTCATTGTGTGGTAAGCCAGCAGCAGAAAAGATAGGAATTTTCTGCCCCCTGGCAATGCTGTTCATGCCATCTATGGCTGAAATGCCAGTCTGGATCATCTCCTCTGGATAGATTCGACACTGAGGATTGATTGGTTGACCTAATTAATACATATCAGAAAGAGAAAATTTTGATATCTGCACATTATTCAGGAATGAGAGTAATCACATGAAACACAAAAACAAGCAGGAGAAAAGATTAGTACTAGTTAAAGTATTTCTCTTAACTTAAAAAAAAAATTACTGACTCCTGTAACTGCTAAAATATTTTTCATCAGTATTTCAAAGCTTTACAAATATGGTGGCAGAACAAGTTCTTCAAGTTAAATAAATAAGAATCTTTATTTCAACACCATGACTTTACTATTTACATTTCAGATTGTCTACAGTGATATTTTAAAATAATATATGCAAGACTATTATACATAGTATTACATATCATATGTCAAATGAGTAAGCCATTTACACTTAAGAAAGTAAGTGTATTATTAAATACAGACGTTACCGAAGAAGTCACTGATAAAAGGCTGATTACTTAATGTCCATCTCTCTCTCTCTCTGGAAATGGCATAATTCCCCAAAATACAGAAGTCTAAATACTATCCCTACCCATGATGTCAAGGAAGTCTTCAGCCAACACAACAGGGCCTCTGTCAATGGGTTTTCCTGATCCATTGAATACCCGACCTATGAAACAGAAGAGTGAATACTGGCTTTTAAATATTCATTACTTTTCTAGACTTTTTGAAATATGTTTAAAAGGAAACCAGATCTCTGCTCAGAGGAACAATTATATTTACCAAGCATATCCTCAGACACGGGTGTTCGGAGAATATCTCCAGTAAACTCACATGACGTTTTCTTGGCATCTATACCTGAAGTACCTTCAAATACCTATCAAGAAAGGAATCAGAAATGAACAATATAATAGAAATTTACCTGGGTACTTAAATTTTATCCCCACTAAAGAGCTACATAAAATAAAATAATAAAAGTGGACATTATGCTAATAACAAAGAAGGGTTCGTTTTTTCTTTTTTAGAGTAAAACAGCAATGATAGATTTATTAGGAAGTTATATCCCCAAAGGGATGGACCTTCCTTCCTGAAAGGAAATATGGAGGGAAGGCCCAGAAGGGCTCATTTTGATGAATTAAATTAGCACTCTTTATACCAAGGTTGGCAAAGCTATGCCTATAGGCCAAATCTGACAGCTAAGCTAATGTTTTTAACTTTGTAAACAGTGGTTTAAAAAATAATGATGATTATGTAACAGAGACCTTAAGGGCCTCAACAATGCATTAAGTATTTCTTATCTGACCTTTAACGGAATATTTAGCCATCCCTGCTATATTTTTGTAGGGAACAAACTATTTGAAGAACCTGGCATTTCTAATTATCAGGAATCGTGAAAAACTAGGAATCTAAGAAACAATTTAAAGGAAAAGATTCTTCTCTAAGATACAGTTTTGGTTTTATGCCAGTAAATTCTGATTTTGTATCACTCCTATATTACTGTTTTGTTTTATCCACTGGAGGAAGAAGGGGTAACTGAATTAATGGAGGAGCTACTGAGCTGGAAATAATATATGAAGCTAACATTTAGGGGGTGAGGAGAAAAATTTAAAAATAATTTTTCCCCTACAGTCAGGATTCAAGCACAAAACACTTCATTTCACCCAGTGAGCTAGAACAAACAAGCTAGGTCTCCCATGTTTTTGTGGTAGGAAAAACCTCAACTGACCAAGTTTTGAGAATGATGCTTACCTGAACCACTGCTTTAGATCCACTGACTTCTAGAACTTGCCCACTTCTCTTTGTGCCATCTGGTAATGTCAAGTGGACAATTTCAGCATATCTGGGAAACTAAGGAGGAAAAACAAGAAGGATCAACAACCAACATTTTAAAAGTTCCTTCCCATTAAAAGTTCCCCAAAACACTCTATATACCCTATTGTCTTTACACAGCTTATGTGCATACATATTCCCCTTCCATCCTCACAAAAGTATTTACAGAGCTTACAATCCTTAGATTTTGAAGTCTTAATAAAACGCCATTGGCACACATTCTACCCACACAGAACATATATACAAGAAGGATTTTGAATCCATGAAAGTAAAGCAATTAAATTTCTTTCTTTTCAACTGTTTTATGTTTTAACTTTGGACTATAGAAAGATTAAAAAATATATATATATAAATAGTCATATTCCTACCATTCAGAACTGGTCTCTATGTCTGTAATCAAATATGCGCTTATGAGGGGTGGGAGGGAGAAATGTTATTAAATACTGCAGTACTGCTAAAATTTCCTTAGTCACTCTACCTTCAAATTCTACTAACCAATTGCATATTTTTCTAATATATTTTTAATATTTTACATACATGTTCCCAAAAATATTCTTGTATAATCTTTTGTTTATATAAATCACAACATACTATAGAAATCATTCTGTGACCTTTTTTTTCGGCTTTGGATTTGTCATATAAAGCACAGGAATTTATCTTTTTTCTCTTTGTTGTTATGTACCATCAAGTCAGAACAGACCCAGAGCTGACTCTTCAGTGGCTTTTCAGAGGCAGTTAAGTACACAGGAGGAGACTGCTCATCTTTTGCCTGCAGAGCAGCTGGTAGGGTGAATTTAAACCTAGTTTCTTTGGATTAGCAGCACAGCTTCTTAACACGCCACCAGAATTCCCTTCTTCTAAAGTGCTGCCAAAGCAACTCGAACTATAGACTGTACAAAGAGGTAAAAATCTTGCCCAACCCTGCACCATCCTCACAATTCCATTTTGTTAAGAGTCTTTTTTTCCTTTGCTGACTCTTTTTTAAGCATGATGTCCTTCTTCAAGGACTAGTTCCTCTTGACCACATGCCCAAAGTGTGAGACTGAAGTCTCACTATCCTTGTCTCTAAGGAGCAATCTCCTTAGTAGTACTCAAAAGTACCCTTCCCCTAAACTCTGTCTATTTAATAGTGTTAAAAAGTTTCAAACTTTCTTTCTTTTAAACATATTATTAATGTCCTTTCTTCATTTTGCTACAAGGTCTGTTTTTTTCTTATTTATTGGCAGAAGTTTATATATTCTGGGTAATTCTTTTGTGAATATCTTCTCCATTTGTCTTTTAACATTGATTATATTATTGTCCTTCACGAGGCTTGGGGACTCTGGAAGTCAGCCAGCTGGCTAAGCGGGTGGGATGGCTGGCGTCTCCATGGCAGACAGTGTTTGGTGAAGCTCCCCAATTAAAACAAGCTTGGAGTCAGGAGGGGCATCCACTTCTATAAATAGCTTGCCTCTGGAAATTCTATGAACCTGGAGAAAGGACGAACGTAATACAGGAGGTGTCCAGGACTTTTGTTCATAGGGTCGCTATGAGTCACCTGCGACTTGACAGCACTTAACAACAACATATTATCATGAAAGTCTCATTCTACTACTTTCTGTAGACTAAGACTATATTCAGTCCTATATCACTGTCTCAAGTTTCCTGTGAATGACATGAATTTTAAGTTAATCAAGATATTAAACAATCATAAAGAAATGGTAATTGTTACCTGGCATTAAGTTGGCCCAAAACACATGACAACTTGATGCACAATGGAAGGAAATGTTTTTGGGTCCCAGGTCTTCCACATATGTAAATATATATGGACCTATGCCACTTACAGGGTTTTCACTGGCTGATTTTCATAAGTTGGTTGCCAAGCTTTTCATCCTAACTCATCTCAGGCTTCAAATTTTGCTGAGCCCTTTACAGCATTCACAGTATCACAAGTCTCTACAGACAGAAATAGGTAATGGCTGCTTGCATATGATGTTTATTTGCAGGGAACTGCAACCATGTCTCCCACAGGGAATGTGACGATTCTACTACTGAACCCTAAAGCCCCACAAGAAATGATAGTTCCTCTCCAATTCTTTCATAACCTAATTTCTCTTTCTCACAGTACTGGACAGGTTCCAAGCACAAAGGTGTACAGTAATGTGAAAGAAGGTACTCTTATCTTATTCCTGACTTATAGGAGAATGTTTCTAGAGCTTCTCTCCCTAAGTACATTGTTTGTCTTCAGTTAAGGTGAAAAGATGTAAGAAGTTCAATAAAAGTGTGCTTGTTGTTTTGACTCATAGTGACCCTATGAAAAATGGTTCTGAATCTTGTATATTAAGCCAAACTCCCCTGTGACATACTTGACCCCACAGCCACAGTCACTCTGTCAATTCATCTCTAAGGGGTTTTCCTCCTTTCCTCTGATCCTCTACCCTTCCAAGCATGATGTCCTTCAAGAACTGGTCCTTCCTGGTGACATGTCCAAAGTATGTGAGATTGAATTTCAAAATGTTTGTTTCCAAGGAGCAAATTGTTTTTACCCTTTCCAGGAAACACCCATTTGTTCTCTTGGAGGTCCATCTTATGTTCACTATTCTTCTCCAGCACTATAACTCAAAGGCATTGAATCATCTTCTGTGATCTTTATTCACTGTCCAGCTCTCAGATGCATAGCAAGCAACTAAGAAGACCATGGCTTGGATCAGGCATACCTTAATTTTCAGAATGACATCGTTGCACTGTGGAGAGGTCCTTGACAGCAGATTTTCCCAACGTAATTCGTCTTTTGATTTCCTGACTGCTGGTACCAAGAGTGCAGATTGTGAATCCAAGCAAGATGAAATCTTTAACAACCTTAGTCCTTTCTCCATCTATCATAATACTGCCTACTGTAGGCCCGGTGATGAGCATTATCGTCTCTGATGATATTTTATAGAGCTCAGGCAGAAATCTAAATTCAAGGTGTCTGAAGATTATATTCTGTGTCTCTTTTTCTAGTAATAATGTTTATAATGCTTATCTACAGTTACATCTAAAGATAGAATGTTGTTGGTGTATACCATTGAGTTGGCATTGACTCATACATAGCTGATCCTCTAGTGGGTTTCAGAGGCAGTTAATCGCACAGAAAGAGACTGCCCATAATTCCTCCTGTGGAGTAGCTGGTAGATTTGAACTGTAGCAATGGGCTTGAGTGTGTCAGAGACTGTGTGGATGGTACGGGATAAGACAGGGTTCAGATTTATTGTTCATAGGGTCACTATGAGTCACACTCCACTACATAGCATCTGTTGTTTGTTGTTGTTGTTATGTGCCGTCGAGTCATTTGTGACTCATAGCGACCCCATGTACAACAGCCCTAAACCCTGCTCTATCCTGTGCCAATCGCATTGCCTCTGACACACCCATCCCGATTACCCCAGTCACCGAATCAATCCACCTCATAGAGGGTCTTCCCCTCCTGCACTGTCCCTCTACCCTACCAAGCATGATGTCCCTCTAAAAGGACCTGTCTCTCCTTACAACATGTCCAAAGTATGTCAGACGAAGCCACAGAATCCTTGCCTCCAAGGAGTAGCCTGGTTTAACCCTCTCCAGGATGGATCTGTTTGTTTTCTTGGCAGTCCATGGTACATTCAATACTCTTCTCCAGCACCACAGCTCAAAGGCGTCAATTCTCCTTCTGTCCTCCCTAGTCATTGTCCAACTCTCTGGTGCATAACAAGTGATTGCAAAGACCATGGCCTTTATCAGGCGCACCTTAGTCTCCAGAGAGACACTGTTGCTCCTGAGTACTTTAGAGAGGTCCCTAACTGCAGACTTTCCCATCGCAACACTCTTGGCACATAGCACCTACCAACAATAAAAACATGAAGCACTACTTAGGGAGCACTAGTGGCTGATAAGGAGTTATGCTGCAAATCCAAGGCAGGTGGTTTGAAGCCACTAGTTGCTCCAAGAGAGAAAGACGGTTAATCAATGTCCTAGCATGAGATTTACAACCTCTGTAAAGCTACTTGAGGGCAGGTATAAGTCTGTTCCAACTTGACAGCAATGATTTAGTTTTGTGTTTTGATGTAGCACTAACATTCAGATCAAGGAATGACTTAAAAACATAACCGATTTTAAAAGTTTTATAACTTTAATAAATAGTAGTGTTACCTTAACATGATCTAAGATCACTAGTGGACCATTGACTCCTGATACTGTCTTGTAGGCTGGAAAGAAACACAGAACAATCAGCGCCTTAGCACAATATCCTAAATTACTTCTCTGGTATTATGAAAAGATTACCATTTTACCACAGCTATTAAAATATGAGCACTCAAATAGTAACAATTTTCAAAGTATAACGTTTACAGGAGGTCACACTTAAGAGTTGAATCTTGGGATAGAATTAGAAAAGCAGATAAAGAAGAGAAAGGGAATCCTTAACTTTAAGCAAAACTAACAAAAAACTCACAAAGACAAGTAGGCAAAATACTGTCTGTAATATAGGCGAGGAGCCTAGATACTGCAGTGATCAAGTCGCTAAATGGAAGGTCAGTTGCTTAAAATCACCTAAAGAGGAAGATGGGGCAATTTGCTTCTGTAAAGATTAGTTCTGGAAATTCTATGAGTTAGTTCTACTTGTTCCATAGGGCCACTCAACAAGAAAAATGTACTGAAAATATAAAATACCATCTGTAAGGGAAAAGGCCATCATGAAAGTAAAAGGAAAAGAGCTTTACGAAGCAGAATATGAAGAATGACACCAAAGGCCAGATATCAAATAAGTTACCTTTTAAAAAACAAAACAAAACAAAAAACAAAACATCAATAAATGTTAGTTGAGTCTTTCTTTCTAAGTCTTTCCTAGTGTACCCAGCCGAAAATGAACTGCAGTCTCAGACCATTGCTCAGCCTCTTTACCGATGGGCTGTGAGCACTGACAGGGGCTGCACACTGAGGGAAGGAAAAAGTTAAATGAGTTCAGCTACGGATTATTTTCTATTGCAAATTAAGCCCTAAAAAACTCATTAGTCTATTCTAAAGGGCACAGCCTCTCATTAGAGAAAAGAAATAGCCAGCCTTTAATGTTATCACATCTAAGTTCATCATTGTTGTTACGTGCCATTGAGTCGCCTGCAACTCATAGTGTACAACAGCCTTAAACCCTGCTCTAAACTGTCATTCTTATTATCTCTGACACACCTATCTCCATTACCCCAGTCACTGAATCATTTCATCTCATCGAGGGTCTTTCTTGTGCTGTCACTCCATCATATTGGTCTTTAAATAGAAACTTTAACAGAAAACTTAAAGATTAATTCAATTTAAAATTATAATAGTTTATATCCATGAAATAAGCAATAATTCCTTCTTTTCTCCTTCCTCCCACCTGTCTATGTTAACTATTAATAAAGTCTGATCTCTACACTCTTCTTGCCTATCTTAGATGTTTCTTATAAGTAAAATTACTGAATATTTGTTCCTTTATGGCTGACATTTCAATAAACATGCTTCATTTTTTTTTAGAAAGTCTTATAACAAGCTTGGGCAGACATTTCTGGTACAAATATTGACACCACCACCTCCCAAGAATGAAGAAATCATTTAATAACTAGTCTGTCCATTCAAGGAGCTTAAGAATTAAAAATTCAATTTTTCCAGCCAGGAAGGAAGTGTCAACGCCGATTTAAAGCAGACAAGCAATATCAGGAGGCTCTGTGCTTTACTCACATTTAAATTCAAATCAAATATTTGTTTGAACACAGTGGCCTCCAAACTGACTTAAAAAATACTTTAGATTAAAAAAAAATACTTTAGATAAAGGACAATCCAAATCTTAATAACTACTGAATGAATGATAATCCAAAAAGATTAATCATTCCACTAAGAGTAGTAACTCCCCCTTATTTGTTACTTTTTAACTCACCATAATCCTTTCCATTGTTTAAAAACAATCACTCTTTAAACATATTTCTGACTTATTAGAATATTTTTCAGTTTTAAAACTGGTTTTCAATGACTTTCTAGTAATGCTATCTGGAATGAAAAGTGAATTATATTAGAATTATTTTTCCTATAGACCAGCTGTAAAAATATAGAAACAAAAGCATTTTTAAAAACCTTTCTAAAAAATAAACAGCTGAGAAGGTTGAAGGTGGCAATTGGGTAGAAGGCAGTAGAGATCACACTGACATTTATAGGCAAGTGCTTTGGATAAATGTATTAACAATAAAATTCTTTGGGTTCTTAAATTCTCTTCACCAGTAAAATTTAAATCACCTCTGAACTTTTACTGTTGCCTACAATAATGGCTACAGATGGCTCAGAATCTCATGTTTAAAATTCAACCTCCTTCAAAATGGTTACATTTTTCCAGTCACGAGCAAAAAAGCATGATCAAGAAAAAAGAAACACTAGTCACAGTTTTTCCTGGAAGTAGTGTATCAAGCTGACTTTAACCCATTAGACAAGCTTGCATTTCCTCTAAGGAATAGCTTTTTTTAAAAAGAAAAAAAATCTATGATATTAGGAGTAATTTTTCTTTAAATTTTGTGTGTGTGTGTCTGTGTGTACTGTCAAATCGGATCTGACTGGTAGAGGAAGAGATTGCCCTTCCTTCTTGGCCAGAGCATCTGGCAGGTTCAAACCTCTTACTCCAGGATTACAGTGCAGCTTCTTGCCAGTAGACCACCAGATCTACCTGATATTATAAATGATTTCTACAGTAACCTTTAAAACTCAAAGCCAATTAAAAAACCAAAACAAATAAAAATTTATAAGATACACAAAATTTGTTTCCTTTTTAAATAAAGACATCTGGAGGGGGGAAAGTCTACTGTCTTCCAAACAAACTGGTTAAAAACAACACACATTTGGTAAGTGCTTGGTCAGGAATACTCAATCTCTGTATCAGATGCCTTTGGTAATAATATTCTTAAGGTTTTTTTTTGTTATTGTGGTTTTTTATTTTTTTTATATTGTTAAGTTTTAAGATAAGGAAAATAAATTCTCTGAGAAATTAAGCAATGGATTGAAGGTTCTAAACTCATTCATGTATCTGGTTCCAGAGTCCTTTGTTCTTTTAATTCTATGGCTATATATACACAGCCCAAACTCTAAAACTAAGCTTTTCAATTTCCATAGTCTGATGCACCGTCATATTTATTTGCAGCTACAACACCCAAAATGTCATAGGCCACGTTTACCATTTAGCATACTCGGAAATATTTCCTTAATGCCAGTATTTTGCCACTACTATAAAACAGTACTTTGACAGTGTGTAGTCACGAGAGTGTTTAAACAGAGAACAGAGTATTGAAGCAATACTTCAGCAGATCTTCCTTGCTGTAAAGCAGGAAAAACAGAAGACTATTTCAGATACAAATCAAAAGTAAAGAAATGTGCCTAGTTTAAATTGACATATATAAAACAATAAACCAAAAATTAAGGAACTCTGGCAGCACAGTGATTAAGTGCTTGGCTGCTAACTGAAGGGCTGGCAGTTAAGCGCCACAAACCCTCTGTGGGATAAAAATGTTAGCAGTCAGCTTCCAAAAAGTACAGCCATATGACCCTCTATGTCCCACAGAGTCTCTAGAAATCAGAATTGACTAGATTGCAATGAAATACACTAATAAATGATATAAATATAATTGAAACCACATAAAAATACCACTGAAGTTTGCACTTGCAAAGAACTTCCCTTTTACGATCATCTCTACTGGTAGTAGCAGACACATAGTCAATCTGACTCCCAGTGATTTCATGTACAGTGGAAGGAAATGTTGTCTTGTCCTGTGCCACTCTCTAGATCAATTGTGTATCAGACCACTGTGATCCACAGTTGTCACTGGCTGATTTTCACAAGTAGATCAGGCATTTCAGCCTACTTTGTTGCAGTTTGGAAACTCCACTGAAACATGTCAGCATCACAGCAGGATGCATGCCTCCACTAACAGATGAGTAGTGGTTGGCTGCGTCAGGAGATGGGCCTATCAGGAATCAAACCCAGTACCCCACATGAAAGGGGAGAATTCTTACAGTGAACCATTACTTCTATAAAACATGGCAATTCCTGCCATTGAGTTAGTTCTGACATAACTCTAGCAAATTTTTAGTCTGTAATCACACAGAAGGAATCTGCTCATCTTGCTCCAACAGAGCAAGTGGTAGATTTTAACCCAGAGAAGTGCAGTCTATGAGTTAGTTGCACAATGCTCTCTGGACTATGCCAGAAAGTTTATCTCAGTTTTTCTTTCCAAAATATTGTTAGGCAGGCAAAGCGGGTAACACGTCCACTTTAAACTTAAGAAAAAGCTTCTAATAAATAGATGTTTATGATAATTGTTATTACATATAGGAACAATAATTAGAAAAAAATCTATATATACATACATATATATGTGTGTGTACACACACACACACATACATGGTGAGCTCTGGAGGCCCAGTGGTAAGAAGCTGCAGTGGATTCCCAATGGCACTCTATCCATAGCTGCTCTGCAGGAGAAGGATGTGCAATCTCCTCCCTTGTGATTAACTGCCTCTGAAAACACGCCAGAGGGTCAGCTACAGATTGGTTTCAACTTGATGGTACTCAACATCCACTATGTTAGTCCCAGCAAGGGGCCTGGTCTCCAGCTACCTTAATTGCAGACATATGGTCTACCAAACCATCAACAGCTGTGGGATCAATATAAATGTGTGCTTTCCACACCATGAAAAAACAGTAGTGGAGAGGTGAAGAGACTGTGGCAAGGTTTGCTTCATGGATGACTGAAAAGCTGACTTGTATAACTGCTCTGATAAAGTCTTCTGGATGACTGAGGAAACCAAGTGTAGTTTTCTGCTGAACAAAACCTAGACTTTCACTTGTTGACTGAAAAGCTAGCTGAACTAACTGAGGAATTATGTCTTGCTGTTTGTCAGGGATAGGGTTGCTAGACTAAACCTGGACCTACAATGTGTGATATTCTTTGCCTCTCCCACTCCCTCAAAAATTTCCCTAATAAACCTCACAACTGTGAGTAAAGTCTAAGAGTCAAGCTGCAATGAACACTGAACCTAACGATTAGCAGAAATAGCTGCAGGAGCTTGTGGGGTGGGATATCTGACCATGTAGCTATATGTAGGGTTGTGTGTGTTGTGCTGTGCATCAAAGAGTTGGAACGGACCCACAGCTGAACTCTCTAGCAGGTTTTCAGAGGCAATTAATCGCAAGGGAGACTACCAATCCTTCTCCCATGGAGAAGCTGGTGGCCTCAAACCACGTGCCTTCAGGATTACAGCACAGCTTCCTTCCACTAGGCCAGCAGAGCTCACATTTGTAGGGTACTAAGGATATTACTTATAGGGACAGTTTATATTTATGAAATTGGTAAAAGTCAGACCTGGCCACCCCCATGTTGTCCCTGCTTCTTTTACACCATTTTTAAAAACTCCATAAATATTTCCATTTACCAAAATAATGGTCACTCTTCTCTTGAAAATTTCCAAATGAGTAAGAACAAGAGTCCCAAGGTAGATATGTGAGAGATGATCAGAACTTCTGACAATAACAAAGCAGATACAAGCTTTTATTGCATACTTAATACATTTTGGTTTGTCTGTTTGTTTTTAATTTTATTATTTTTGTGTGAGTGTACCATCAAATCAGATCTGACTGGTACAGGAGAAGATTGTCCCTCCTTCCCAGGCAAAGCATCTGGTGGATTCGAACTATGCGCCTCTGGGATTGTAGTTGCAGCTCCCTGCCACCAGAGCTCCCCAGGCATATTTAATACATTTTACAACCAAAAAGTTACATCTTTGATTTTCAAACTACTAGGCTAGCAATAAACATCTTATGGAGTAACATCTGAAAACCAAAACCTATGATATCCTCTTCCTCCTGCAGGATGTAAGATTGTTCAATATTACTAACACTACTTAACGATTGTGAAATTTTCAAGGAGAAAATTTCCCGTTGCACAATAAGAGACCTAGTCCTAGCCTCTGCCTTATTAACAAAACAAAAACCCAGAACAACCATCTTATATTGTGCAAGAACTGTAGAGTCTCACACCCTGAGCACCTGTGGAGAAGTTGTAAAGACAAAAGGTTCCTCAATTTGACTTTTTGCTGGGGTAAATTCTGGCTTATGAAGTAAGAAACTAAGTTGATCTAGGATGTTAAGAACAATGGAGACAACCTAATTCAAAATGGTTAAAGCCCAAATCACCATATATCATCAAACCTTGTTCACAGTTTAAAACAAAAATAAAATTTCCTTTCCTTGATACTACAGACATTAAAAAGATAATTTTCTAATTTTAATTCCACATATTTAATTTTTCATTTCTTGTTAACAGTACTGTAATCTTAAAATTGGTTTATAACAGGGTCAATTTATAAAGTAAAAATTACCAATATCCCATTCTTTTACTCAAACAAAAAGCATACATTAAATAACTATAATTACATATTCCGTAAGATGTCATTAACAATCTTTATTAGAAAAATTGTTTAATAAATATATATTCAGAAGCAATTAAAACTGTTAACCAGAATCAAGAAAGTGGTAAGACAGAAAAAAAGATTAACATATAGTTAGTTATCAGCCTAATTTTATCACTTATACTTTTCAAAATAAGTGAGATCTAGAAAGGGACCTCAACACAACTAAGCTACCAAGTCCCTACTTGGATTCCATCCATGGTAAAAATCTATCTTTTAAGCTTTTAGAACAAGGAATTTAAATGCAAGTTACACAACAATTTTATATACTTTTTATGTGGCAGGCACTGTGCTGGGCACTAGACATAAAAAGGGATTCCCAGACTCTCAACCAGGTGGACTGACACAGTGACTGTTGCAATGGGCTCTTGGGTGTTGGAAGTTGAGGATGGCACAGGATAGACCAGGGTTCAAATCTTTTGTTCATAGGGTCACTGAGTCATCCTCGATTTGACGGCACCTAATAACAACATGTTATTAAAGGAGCTCTGGTAAGGAGCTGCGTTGCCAACCTGAATTCACACGGTTCAAATCCACCACCATTTAAGAAAGTTATTAAATCTCCTCCCAGACGATTTATTGCCTCTGCAAACCCGCTGGAGGGTCAGCTATGAGTCAGTTCTTATCTGATGGTGCATAACAATGTTGTTAGGTGCTGCTGAGTCAGCTCCAACTCACAGCAATCCCTACCTACAACAGATAAAAATACTGACTGATCCTGTGCAAGTCTCTCAACAACTACTGTGCTTGATCCCACTGTTGTAGTCACCAATTTTATTCTCACGGCACAACAGTTTTACTAGGAAGAAAAATCTCATCTGGACAAATCACTCAACAAGCACGCATGCATGCACACACACACAGAGTTACAAATATTTCTTAAAGATTTACTATTCTAACCACAGGGTAAGTTTTAAATAACATCAAATTTCAGTTGATACTCTCAGAATTTGAGTATCAATCTATAAGGATCCTTAAAAACAACCAACTTTTAAGGTTACTGACTACTGTATCTTTGTAATGTATACCAAGTATCATTAGTAGCAGTCTCACCCAAAGGAAACTATACAGATGTAATTTGTAAGTCAGAATTTGTAATTCTTAAGTATAAACTTATTCCCAACCTCTAAAAATAGATTTCCTGCAACATTTACTTCAAGCTGCATAAACACATTAACAGCCCATCTCTGGTAAAAAGAATTCTCAGGGTGAAAAGGGTATGTCAGCAATCCATAGACTCAAGTGTGCTTTCCTTCTTCCTCACACTGCAGTGCTATCACATGACTCCGTGACAGGGCAGGAGAGGATTAGTCAGGCTAGGGATTGCCCTGACTAAAACCCCTCATCCAAAATGCTTTCTAACTAATGAGCCACCCACAGGCAGGCATTCTGGCAATTAACCAGAGCAAATGCAGTATCACCACCAGGAGAAAGACACATCATGCGCTTTCTCAAGTTAAAAAAAAAAACAAAAAAACACACACACAACAAAACCCCAAACAAACAAACAAACCTCAAACCCCCCCAAAAAAAATCCCCTTCGAAGGCTCATCCTAAGATTCTAAGGAAGCTCTGATGCTCCACAATTCCATCATTCTAATCATGAACCATTTCTTTCTGACTTGTCCATTTCAACCTGGTGCATTAAGGGTTTTTAAAAATAATCACAACAGCACCTGTGATGTCTAACTGCCTGGTGTCTCTGCATTCATTTAATTACTCTTGTTAGTCGTAAATAAAGAGGCAAAGGCTACAAAAAAAAAAAAAACAAAACAAAAACAAAAAACCCAAAAACACCTAATAAGTAGTCAAGAAGCCTGGAATGTTAGTTCCTGGCCTGTCACGAATTAGGTGTCTGAGCTCTAGCAAGTCCTACCCCCCCTCCCAGAAACCACTTGTAAAAGGAGAGGGCTGCACTAGTGACCTGCAGGGTACGTTTCAGCTGTAGCGTTCTGCGATGCCGAGGTTATCTCCCCGTGCAGCAGACCCTCCATCTGACAACAAGCCGCATCTCCGCGGGCTGCAGACTCGCCATCCATCCACGTCAGCGGCCGCACCTCACTGTCCGCGCTCCACAGGAGCCTCCCCACTCGCCCCGCGTTCCTCCCCACGGGAGGGGATGGACGGGGCATCGCTCGACCCCCCCAAATACCAAACGAGGTCAAGGGGAGAGAAAGATGGGAGTGACAGCAGAGAGCTCTCCGAGCCAAGCAGCAGCAAACGCCTGGCCTCGGGAATACTCCAGTTTGGGAAGTTGGAAAACGATGGGGCAATACGCGCGGATCCCACCACCCCGGGGGAAAGGGTCCCATTGGTGCTATTGCCCTCTCTCCACCTATAATCACGGAAACGTAAGACACACGAAAACCTCCTCCTAGAAAAGAGGTATATGTGGGTGAAGTCAGCACCGCAGAGGAAACTAAGTACCCCCCACCCCCACCCCCAGACGCGGGCCAAGCAGGTGAGTGGGAGCGAGGGGCTGGGCTAAATAGCAAAGACCGCATTCCTCTTGGTCTCTGATACTCACTGAGGCGAGGCTGGGAGAGGTAGTTCCGGCTAACAGCCAGCGCCTGCTCCCGAGCCCCCACCACCGGCCCACTGGTAGGCACTGGTAGCTCGGGTGCGGCCCCGTTCACGATACCCCGCATCGCCCGCAGCGCCATCTTGTCTCCTCCGTCCAGACTGGCCCTATAGCAATTCCGCGCAAGCGCAGATATAGCCAGAACGGCCCGCGCAGCCGGCTCCGCCCATGCGCGCTGCAGAGTCCCCGCCTCGCCCCGCCTCCTTGGCCGCTCTCAGACCCCCCCGACTCGTGACTCGGGTTTCCCAGTGGGGGGGGGCTTAACCAATACGCATGCGTGAGGAGCTGACCAGCGTGCTGGGCGGGCTTGGGGCCAGCCGGAGCGTCAATCTAGGAACAAACACGCAGGAGTTCATTTCTGTCCAGTCAGAAGCGGCTCTTAGCTGACCCTCTAGCGAGTTTTCAAAGGCTGTAATCTTTCAGGATGAGATTGTCCATCTTTCTCGTAACCGGTAGTGGATTCGAACTGCCAGAAAAGCTCCACCTTTGGTTCAGCAGCACAACTCTGTTCCCAGGGCTCCACTACAGAGTCAAGTGAGGTAGGAGAAGCGAAAGAGAGACTTCGAGAAAGCAAGATTTAAGGGGAAAAGAAAAGAAACGATGGGGGCAAACAAGGGAGGAGGAGAGAGAGACAAAAATGAATCGAGGAGGAGGGAGGAAGGCAAATGTGCAAGAAAAAGTCAAATGATGTCCATTTGAGACAGCATTTCTTGCCGCTCTTCTAACTCCTACTCCACTTATTGTTTTATCTGCAGACAGGCATTCTATTAAGTGAATAATAACCTTTTTTTGGAGGGGTGGCATTTTAAGGTTTGAAACATAAAAACAAAGCCAACCCATTGATTTTGAGTCTAGCCCATTCTGACTCAGCGACCCTACAGGAACCAAGCACAATTCCCCCATTGGGTTTTCAAGGCTGTAAATTCTTTATTAAATCAGAGTGCCACATCTTCCTCCCACGAAGCATCTGGTGGATTCAAGGAAGCCCTTTCCTTTTGGTTAGCAGCTGAGCTTTAACAAGTTTATTAACAGGGCTCGTCTTAAGCTTATGCATGTGGTTTAATGTGTACTGTTGAAAACAACCCATAGGTGACCCTCCAGCAGGTTTTCAGAGACAGTTAATCGCATGGAAGGAGCTTGTTAATCCTTCTGTGAAACACCTGATGGATTCGAACCGCTTGCCTTTAGGTTTGCAGCACAGTTTCTTACCACTAGGCCACCAGAGCTCCCATATATATGTTCCTTGTGCCAAGAAATCTGGAGAACAACTACTTGGCCAACTGACTGGAAGAGGTCTTTATTTGTTCCCATCCCAAAGAAGGGCGACCCAACTAAGTGTGGAAACTACAGAACAATATCATTGATTTCACATGCAAGCAAGGTTCTACTGAAGATTATCCAAAAACGACTGGAACAGTACATCAGCAGAGAACTGCCAGAAGTCCAGGTTAGGTTTAGAAGGGGTCGTGATACTAGGGATATTGTAGCTGATGTTAGATGGATCTTAGCTGAAAGCAGAGAATACCAGAAGAATGTCTATCTGTGTTTCATTGATTATGCAAAGGCATTTGACTGCGTGGATCATAACAAACTGGCTGACTCTGAGAAGAATGGGAATCCCAGAACATTTAATTGTGCTAATGCAAAACCTATACTTGGACCAAGAGGCAGTCATCAGAACAGAGCAGGGCAACACTGCATGGTTCAAAATTGGGAAGGGTGTATGTCAGGGAAGTGTCCTGTCTCCATACCTTTTCAACATGTATGCAGAGCAGATTATCCGAGAGGCTGGGCTCTATGAGGAGAAGCGTGGCATTAGGATTGGTGGACAATCTATCAACAATCTGTGTTATGCAGATGACACAACCCTGCTCGCTGAAACTGAGGAGGACCTCATGCACTTACTGCAGAGGGTCAAGGACTGCAGCCTTCAATATGGACTGAGGCTCAATGTCAAGAAGACAAAAGTTCTCACCACTGGACCAATCGGTAGCATCAGAATGGATGGCGAAGAGATTGAGATTGTTCACAGCTTCAGTTTGCTCGGCTCCACGGTCACCACTTGGCACCAGTAGCCAGCAAATAAAAAAAAACGTCTTGCGATGGGAAAGTCTGCGGTTAGGGACCTCTCTAAAGTACTCAAGAGCAACGGTGTCTCTCTGGAGACTAAGGTCTGCCTGATATAGGCCATGGTTTTTGCAATCACTTGTTATGCATCAGAGAGTTGGACAATGACTAGGGAGGATAGAAGGAGAATTGACGCCTTTGAGCTATGGTGCTGGAGAAGAGTATTGAATGTACCATGGACTGCCAAGAAAACAAACAGATTCATCGTAGAGAGGATTAAACCAGGCTGCTCCTTGGAGGCAAGGATTCTGGGGCTTCGTCTGACATACTTTGGACATGTTGTAAGGAGAGACAGGTCCTTGGAGAGGGACATCGTGCTGGGTAGAGTAGAGGGACAGTGCAGGAGGGGAAGACCCTCTATGAGGTGGATTGATTCAGTGACTGGGGTAATCGGGATGGGTGTGTCAGAGGCAGTGAGATTGGCACAAGATAGAGCACGGTTTAGGGCTGTTGTACATAGAGTCACCATGAGTCGCAAACGACTCGATGGCACATAACAACAACAACAACAACATTTGCATATGGTGGTATATTACAAGTGTAATATTACTCAGTTGTCTATTTCAGATGTATCATTTCTGTGCCTTTAATATAAAACCTCACAGCTTCTTTGTACCACACCACTTAAGCAAGTGTTATTGATAGGTATTATATGACACCCAGTGAAGGAAACTGAGGCTCTAAAATCATTGTGATAAACTAAAGCAAAGTGGAACTCTTTTCAGTATTTATTATCACAGAGCACTGCCTCTGAAAACCCACAAGAGGGTCAGCTATGAGTGGGTTCTGATTCTACAAGACATAACAACAATTCTTAAATATGGAGAGTTCTGGTGGTCAAGTGGTAAGGAGTTGTGCTGCCAACCCAAAGGCATACAGTTCAACTCTACCAGCTGCTCAATGGGAGGAAGATGAAATGGGAGGAAGATGACCCTCTCCTTCTGCGCAATTTACAGCCTTTGAAAACCCACTGGAGGGTCAATTATGAATCATTTCTGATTTGGCAGCAAACAACAACAATGTAAACAAAAAAGAATCCCTGGCAACACAGAGGCTAAAATATTCCATTGGTAACAAAATGTTGGAAGTTTGAATCCTCTAGCCACTTCATGGGAAAAAGACGTGGTAGTCAGCTCTGTAAAGAGTATGTTGTTTTTGTTTTGTTGTTATGTGACATCGAGTCACTTGCTACTCATAGTGACCCTATGTACAACAGCTCTGAACCCTGCTCTACTCTGAGCCAACCTTATTGTCTCTGACACACCTATTTCCCCAGTCACTAGATCAATCCATCTCATCCAGGGTCTTCCTCTCCTGCCTTGTTGCTCCAGCCTCCCAAGCAAAATGTCCCTCTCTAAGAGCTGGTCCTTCCTTGCAACATGTCACAAAGCTTCAGAAGCCTTGCCTCCAAGGAGCAGCTCAGCTTCACCCTCTCCAAGATGAACCTGTTCTTCTTCCATGGTATATTCAATACTCTTCTCCAGCACCACAGCTCAAAGTCATCAATTCTCTTTCATCCTTAGTCATTGTCCAGCTTTCTGATGCATAGCAAGTAATAGTGAAGGTCATAACCTGGATCAAACACACATTGGAAATATTATGAGGGTGTTCTACACAGTTCTAAAGGATCACTCCTGAGTCAGAATTTATTTTCTGGCAATAAGTTTAATGTGCAAATTGTTTGTAGTTCATGTAATGGAATGTCAGCAAATAAAATCTTAGAAGAAAAGGCTAGAATGGTAGAAAGAAGGAAAGTAGAAAGCTAAGAATAGGAAGTGACCTTTGATGAGGGAAATCACCACTCTCATCTTTCTCCACACCTATTTAATCTGTAGGCTGAACAAATAATTCAAGAAGCTGGACTATATGAAGAAAAATGTGACATCAGGATCAGAGACTCATCAACAACTGGTGACAAAACTTGCTTGCAGAAAGTGAAGAAGACTTGAAGTGCTTGCTGCAGAAGATCAAATATTATAATCTTCATTATGGATTATGCCTCAACATCAAGAAAATAAGTCTTCATCATTAGACCGTTAGGCAACATCATGATACATGGGAAAAGACAGAAGTTGTCAAGTGTGTCAATTTACTTGGATCCATAATCAGTATGCAGAGTTACAGCAGTCAAGAAATAAACAGATGTGTTGGATTGGAGAATTCTGCTATCAAGGACCTCTCCAAAATGCTAAAGAACAATGATATTAGTTTTAAGACTAAGATGTACCTTATCCAAGCCATAGTCTTTTCGGTTGTTTCCTATACATCTGAAAGTTGGACAATAAATAGGATGACAGAAGAAGAATTTATTGACTTTGACTTGTGGTGTGGGGAAAGAATACTGAATATGCCATGGACTTCCAAAGAATGAGCAAGTCAGATTGGAAGAAGTGCAACCAACATGCTCCTTAGAGGCAAGGATGGTGAAGCTTCATCTCACATACTTCAGACATGTTATCAGACAGGCCCAGTCCTTGGAAGAAAACACCATGCTGGGAAAGGTGTAAGATCTGAGAAAGAGAGGAAGAATCTAAACATAGGTTGACACAATGATAATAACAATGACCAAGTGGGATTCATAACAGGTATGCAAGGATGGTTCAACATAAGGAAAACAATCAATGTAATTCATCACATCAACAAGGCAAAGAAC